TTTATTCCAGAAATTTTCGAAATTAACTTGGAGCAACTGTTTGAGAAAAATAACATTTTGGACAACAATTTTCCTTTCAATTAATATATATCTCACTTCTTTTGAAAGATGTCAAAAAGATGTCAACTAATAAAATGTTTATCATGATATCAGCAAAATTTTTTTGTTGACCACTTTTTGAGATCTCTCACAGAAAATGAGATACACAGGCTCAAATTTCATGATTAGGGTGACGGTCTATTAGAGTATCAACGGTAAGTATCTCGATTCCTGTGAAAGATATAAAAAATTTGGTAACTGATGAAGCATTGGTAATGTTATGACACACAATTTATCAGTTGATTACTTTTCCCGGAAGGCCCGGTAGCAAAGATTTTGTCATTTTGAACCGAATTTTGAGCTCTCAATACAATTTTCTATTTTTTGTGCTTTTTGGATTGTTTGTCTGTTTGATCAAAAAATATTTTTTAAAAAACTCGAAAAAAGTTTTTGATCGAAAAAAATCACATAGGGTCCCCCCTTATGTGTTTTTTGAAATTTCAAAACTTATAGAATGACAGGCTTGCCGGGCCGGGCCTCCAAAATTCGGAAAAAAGCCCGGCCCTGCCCGGCCCGTTGCAAGTTTGCATTTCATACTATGATGAACGTTGTCTCAGTGAACCACTATCAAACATTTTTACAGAAATCGAAAAAAAAGTCAAAGAGGACGGTAAAAAAGTTTTAAAGAATATAAAAATCGACTCTTGGTTTTGCATTAGAGATACTGTAGATGTTTTCCAAGGTTCAACTCTATACGTAATTTTTGAGTTCTATTATCTCGGTTCCTTCGGAAGAATCGTCATTTTTGGAAATCCTAATTCGTAAATGCAAGAAATTGGACGCTAGCACGTACTTCCACTTTGAGCAAAATTATGTCGATTATTTCATAAGATATCAAACAATATTCAACTGATACATTTTTATCATAATAACACCTTCACCAGTTGACAAATTTCTGTTATCACTCATAGGAACGAAGATGATTGAGCTTAAAGTGCTTGTATAGGGGTGCATAAAGGGAATAAATTTTCTACTGAAATCTCAAACATTTTCAATTATAATTTGCTTTTTTTCCAGCCTGTCACCTCTGTGGTCAAAAACGTGGAACGCCAACGCTTCCGAAAGCAAGGTGCCGGATCCGGCGGCCGCGCTGCCGGCAGTAACTACTATTTCGATGGCGGCGCTGGTCCACGCTTGACTTATGACAGACGATCGCAAACACTCTCGCATGGTTCTTATGCGGGTAAGTTTAGTTTTTCTTGAAAAGTTTTGTTTCGTTATTTTGATAAATGTATTTTTAAGAACCATCCTCACCACTACCTCCGTCCAGAATCGGCTACGCAACGGAGCGACGTGAACCATTTGGTGCCATGAGGCGAGCAAAGAGTGAAAGTGCAATGGTTTTCAGAGAAAAGTAGGCATATTTTTGGAGTTATGAATTGATAGCACATGTCTTCTTTTTTCAGTAGAGAAGAATTTGAAAATGACTCTCCTGAAATGGCACCAAAAGGTTTGAAACGCTTCGGAAACAACAGCCAGAAAGAACAAGTCCACTATCACCCCATTCAACAAGTAAAAACCTTGTCAAGGAGTGTGCACGACCTGGCTATCCGAGATGATGATCCAGGAACTCTACTCCGTCCAGTATCTGCTAGACCACCCTCATCCGCATCTCGTACACCATACCGAGCAGTGTCTCCTACACCAGTGTCTCCAATTATAAAGCAAGACTCTGATATTCCATCCAGGAGATTGTCTAGCGCACTTTCTCCACGAGCCCGGTTTGCAGATCCACCAATTGTAGAAGCTCAACAGCCACATGCTGGCTTTTCTTATCTGTTCCCACAGCAGCCAGTTGTTTGTTCGGTGTACAACAAGAAGCTAATGTCTCCAGAACCTAGAGATTCTTCAGTATGCTTCTTTTCGTTTTGAATTAATTTTAATTATCGGTATTGCAGTCGTCCACCTTAAACCGTCCTGTCTCTGCACCTCTGTATGCCACTGCTGGACATCACGAAGGAACAAGCCGACCACTGTCTCCGCTGGAAATTCAGAATTCCATGTCTGGAACTCAACAAGATTTCGATTTACCCGTTGCATATAGCAATGAGAATGGGCAAGTGGTGTATGTTCCGATTAATATTGAAGGTGGTATGGGTGCTGGGCCTAGAAGGATGAGCAAGACTTCTAAGTGAGTTTGCTGGATTTTAATTAGTTTTTAAAGAGCATTTTCAGATTCGAGTACACTCCCAATGACTCTAGGAGCAATAGTCGTGCCAAACTTAGAAGCCCAAGCATTAATGGTAACGTTGTTGTTTCTATATACAGTACTAGTCAATAAGATATACAAATATTCATTTTTCAGTTGATTATTGGCTATGTTCAGGTGTCCGCCCACTTTGAAAACTTTGGAGGGTGTAAAGCAGACCTAGATTGGCAACTTTGCATTCACAGAACTTCTGTAATTCCTAGTTTTTCTGTTATTTGCCGTTTTTGAAAGACAACCCTTTTTGGCCGTTTTTCCGCTGAAAACGTGAGAAATACGTGTCTCTCAGAATAATGCAAATAGCTGAAAAACTAGAATTTTTCAGAAAATTCTTTGAATCAAAAGTTTTTTATCTAGATTCATTTTTCACACCTACAAAACTTTCAAAGTAATAAGAAACTTGACATCCAAACTGCAGACTCCTACAGATTCCAAAAAGCAAGTGAAAAATGTGTTCTTGTACATTTCCTTGACTGGTACTGTTGCTTCTAAATACGGGTTTTTGCAGGAGAAGACGTTCGAAACGCTCTGAGCCAGTTTGACTACCTGTATGACTACGAAGCCGACCAGAGTCCTCAGCATAAAACCCGCGAAGCTACTTATCATTTGTAACTGATTATCATAATTTGATTAAAACATAATTGCTCAATTATAGGATTTTTTGACAAGGTAGACTATTTTACCGGCTCACTGTATACCGAGATGTTTTCGTATTTACTTGAAATAAATAATTTTTTGTCCTTTTCTCGTTTTCTTCCGCCTAATTTTATTTGCACGGTAAAAACCACTAACAACTTGATTTGACAAGAGATAGAATCGATCGCGTGCAACCCCGCCGTCGAAAAACAAGGCCATCGGAATTAGAGAGAAACACACATACACTCAGAAATTTGGCGCCATCAACAAACTTCGCTTGTTATCAGTATCGATGACCCTAGCCTGATTAATTGAAACGCAGGAAACTGATTACATTTATTTTTGAGAATTAAGAAAAATTTGAAAACTTGAAAACTTGGCAGCGAGTGAACTTGAGAAGGGAATCACGAGTTATGGAAAAACAATTGAAGCCTAAATTGAACAGAAAGTTTTAAAGAAATAAGAAAAAAGTGTCAAGGTTCAAAAAGGGCTTATTTGAGGATTATTTTAGATGTTCCGATAAATCGGCTGTGGTGGTGGCGCATTCTCATAGCTCCATGGTGGCCAAACAAACTTGAAACAGCAGCACTGCACTCGATGGTGTTGAATCGGTCGAACTGGTCGCATATCCTGGTGGAACACTCCGGGTTGTTGAGTGATTGCACCGCGTGAAGTTCCAAACTCGTGCCCTCCACCTCCACCACCGTAGGACTCGTGATGGGATCTATGATAGCTGCTGGATCGATAGCCACCTCCACCACCTCCACCAGAGGCAACCACTGGTGGACCACGGTATGGTTGAACAGCTCCATAGTCTTCTCTCTCGAAATCATCTCCAAATCCTGGACCTCTTCCAAAATCTCTTCGAGTAGAGTGCTCCTTGAAACGAGAGGAGTAGGATTTTGGACTGTCTCCCATTCTTCCATCGAACGATCTTCGGGGTGGGAAGTATTTTGGAAGGGGCTCGATGGGTTCTCTCATAGGCTCCCTGCTCATCGGTGGACCTTCCCGGATATCGCGATTATATGGAATGTGAACTTCTTGGCCAACTGGGGGACGGCGATCATCAATACCATACGGCTCAACTTCTCTATGACGTGTTTGTGGAGAAGATCGATAATCGTACTGGGCGTCACGGCCAATGTCCCGGCGGATTGGAATCACGACTCCTCCCTCTTGGTTTGAGTACTCGTTACGGTAGAAACCATCGTCATAGCCTCCACCGCGGAACTCTCGGTTGTCAAGGGATTTGCTTCTGAAAAATGAAATTGACTACACGATATACTTTGGTCTAGAAAGAAGTGATTAGGAGTCAGCATTTAGGTAAAAATACAATAACCAGAAAAAAGAGTCTTACCTTGACTTGGTATCAAGCCCTCTGTTGTCATAGAATGGCTGTTGTTGAGAGAATCGATCCCCGTAGTCCTGATCCATATTGGTTTGAGATCTGGACCGTAGTGGTGGATACTCTCTTCCATAGGCATTGGCTCTGGACTCGATGCCGCCACGTGGCGTGATTTGTTGGGACCGTGAGTCGCGGTAATTCATGGTTCGATTTGAGTAATCGGGGTTCGCCCCAGGCGAGAAGCGACGATCGTAATTCATCGCTGGCCGCTAGGAGGATACGGAGAGAATAGCGATGATGATGAACCGATTTGTTTTTGTAGGCGGCCTAACAGTGATGGATATATCGCCTTTTTTCCCACACACAAAATAAGTCGGTCGTTCAGATCGGGGTAGTTTGGGAGAAAAATGCGGCGTGTCTCGCGTGCCGCCCAGAACAAAAAAAAATCGAATCGTCTTCTACCCCTAGAGGAAAAATTTGGGTGTGGGGAGAGAGAGTTTTGGGAGACTGACTCACGACCAATGAAGAAGAAGAAAAAGACGACGTGAATGAAGACGTCGGTATCGCGGGCGTGGCGCTTCTCCGTTTTTCTCCGTCAGGTAGGCACGCTCAAAAATTTGTTTCTTGACGTCCTCCTCGTCTAATTTCATGTCCTTCATTGGATATTAGTAGACAAATGGAAGTCAGCGAAAGAGGAAAAATGTTAAAGGGATACTAGGTTGTTGGTTAACACCTATCAGTGACAAGATGTCGCCATTGATTGGGAGAATTATGGAGGGGAATCACCATAGATCAATTATTGGAAAACATTTTTAGAGTAGACTGGAGCTGAAAGCAAAATTTCAATATCCAAGCTTCTCGAATTTGATCTACCGTGTTTGCTATAATAGAAACTTACCCTATAAGTATACTTTGAGTTCTATTATCTCGGGTAGTCTGAATGAAATCGAAAAAGTTTCAACATATGAAATGTTCGCAATAATATCGCCAAGCATAGGAGCCGTGGGTCCAGTTTGAGAGTATGCCAATCTGTTACGGGTAGGTGCAAAAGTGGAAGTTTAGGATGACGTCTTATTAGACAATTTACAAAAGTACATTTCTAAAAAATGGCGATTGGAATACGAAAATTGTATTTATGTATGAACTTGCTAAAGTGAAACTTACTGAATTTATTTTCAGTTCCAAAACTAGGAAACAATATTAAAGGTCAGCTTCCGATCTCTGATAACCTACCGTATTTCCATTAATACAAGCATACCCAGAATCGTCTTCTTTCAGCTCAATTATCTCGTTTCTTTCAGCTCAATTATCTCATTTCATATGTTGAAACTTTTGTTCCTGGGAAAGATTTGAAAAACTTGTCAACCAATAAATTATTTATCACAATATCACCAATATTTTATCCGTTGACATAATTCAAATATATATCACGGTAATGGAAATAATCGAGGTCCAAGTCAACAGTTTAGGTGGGCTTCTACGAAACAATAATAATTGTTCCAGGTTTGTTCTTTGAAAGAAACAATCATTTTTTATCTTTTCTCCCATCCTATTTATCAATACAAGTGTGATATTCAATCAAAAAGCCGTGATAATTATCATGCGGAACGGAAGCAAATCTTCTTATCTTTATCCTTCTGAACAGGTTTACACACTGATTGATTATTTTTTGTCTCCCGTCGGGAAAAAAAACTGATAGACCGGTATCTGAATGAAACCTATTCTAGAGCGATCTTCATGGGAAAAGTGCAAGAAAAATTTTGTAACTTGATCCCCCCCATCTTCTCACTTTTGGTTTAGGCGCCAGGGGATGGATATCCGCGACGGTTTGCTTTTCCCAGTGCGCGTGTGGACACGGGTCACTCGTTGCCCCACACACCGAACACATTTCCGTTTTTCTTCGCATGTCACGGAGAACGACGAGCTGTCAAAATGGGGCGGTGGTAGGGGTGAAAAAGACACGATGAGACTCGGGAAGAGCTAATTTTTTGACAAGCTCTTCTCTTGGTAGACACACACAGTTTGCTAGATTAGGTTCATTTCAAAAACGAAGGTGCACACAATGCGACCAATAATTCCAATAATTTTATTAACTATTATATCAACAAGGCCAGTTCATGGATTCATATGGCTACCGTTTGTAAGTATTCAATTTTTAAGTAACATGAAAATGGCAATATCATATTTGTTACAGGCAGGGCCGGGCCGGGCCGGCCGGTCCGGGTTTTCATTTTGAAACTCTGACAAATATTTTTCCAGGCGAATCTTGGGTCCATGTTTGAAACATTGAAGCAGACTGCTTTCCATGAGAAATTGGATTTCAATGAGCCTGATTCCCAATACTCTTTTCTAGAATTTGGTACTTCTACACTTATTCATGAATTTCTTTTTTAATCTATCAGGTTCAGGAAAAGACTTGTTCAACAACATTGGTCAATATCTTACATCGGCCATTGGGAATGATGATAAAATGAAAATCGCGTCAAACTTAAGAGAGCTTTTCAATTTAACAACCACTACAGTAGCTCCAAAAACTCCAAAGCGGTTTCGTCCAAAGATCATCCCAGTAGACAAGCCTGAAACCACTACAATACCCCAACCAATGCCCACAGTGTTCACGTTTCCCTACACCACACCACAGTTCACAACAAGCACTCCAGCTCCTGAAATTCCAATAACTTATGATCCACGACCCCGATTTCGGTATACAACCACAACTGAGCCAGCGATCATAAAATTTGTGAAAACCACAAAAGCGCCAAGTACGACAACTGAGGAGATGGAGACAACGGAAGATGGTAAGCTAGAAATTCTGAATTATCGTAGTTCCTCTGATACAGTAGAAGTCCATGAGCCCACAAAAACCGTCAATTTTGATCACAATGATCTTGATTCCTGTGAAAGATATCAAAGAGTTGTCAGCTGATAAAATATTCGCGATACTAGAATTAATTTACCAGTTGACACATTTTTCCTGTCTTCGACAGGAATCAAGTCAATTCATCTCAAAGTTGACGGCTTGCTAACAAGCTTTCATTTAGAAGTACGGTATTTTGAGCGGCTCGATCACTAATTTTTATGTACGACGTATTCTTTCAGATATCATAAGATTCACTACTACCACTCAACGAGTCCGTTTTGCCACGTTTTCTCCAAACGTTCCGGTGACTACCACAACCACAGAAGCTCCAACCACAACTACTGAACTTCATACGACTACAACAACTACACCATATACCACAACTACACCAACAACTACAACTACAAGAACAACAACTACAGTAACCACAACTACACCAGAAACTTCAAAAGCGTTGCCACAGTACCAAATCTGGCCTACCACCACCAGACCATCATCCAAACTGCTAAGCCAATAATTAGGTAACTACTGTAAACACTCTAAAAGAAGGCCGCCCCATAATTGCACTCAGAGCTTAATTCTCTCAATTTCTAAACAAATTATAAAAATTATGTCAACTGACAAAATGTTGGCGATATCATGACAAACATTTTATTTGTTGCCCAATTGTTGTTATCTTTTAAACAAATTGAGAAAATGGAGTTCATGGTGCAAGTATATTCCTATCAGAGGTT